CAGACAGACAGACAGACAGATAGATAGATAGATAGATAGATAGATAGATAGATAGATAGATAGATAGATAGATAGATAGATAGATAGATAGATAGATAGATAGATAGATAGATAGATGGGTTAGTCAATGGATGGATGGATGGATGGATGGATGGATGGATGGATGGATGGATGGATGGATGGATGGATGGAAGTGATAGCTAGATTATTTTTTAAAGAATCTGCTGTTTTTGATCTATTCAGAACTGTGAGTAAACCAAGTTGAGACTGTTGATGAGAACAAAAAATAAGGAATATAACCTTACTATTGTTTTTGTGTCATCCTGAACCACACAGCCATTTCCTAATTTTTTCCAGACCTTACACTCAATGTATACCATGTTCCATCCAAGCTTAAGGACACGAAGCATGATGTACATTTCCAGACACTTGGTGGACAGATGTGCCTGGAAGCTCACCTCAGCAATGTCTCCTTGGGACACTGGTTCTCAGATTTGGGTTTCCCAGCTGTTTCGGACTTCCCTCCCAGAACCCCTCACCATGAAACATGTTCACTGAGGCTTCCAGGAGTCGAAGTCCAAAACAGTTGGAGAGCCAAAGTTTGAAAACCACTGCTCTGGGACTTATTCATGGCGGCCTCCGGAGATACAAGTCTCTTCTCTCTGACCTTCCTCTGTGTTTACAGTTTTTTTTGTGTGTGTTTTTGGAACCAATTAAAATCGCTATGCGAGGCACCACTGTACTTCATGAAGCAGTTCTCAACGTGAACTGGGCAACTCTTTGGCTGCTTTGCTACTTTGAGGACACAGAGCAGGGAAAAGCACACTCTCTCCCTCTTGCTTTCTTGTCCTGGGCAAATGCTGAAAAAAACACTCCAAAATGAAGAGCTAAAAGCAGAAGAACTAGCACAGTTTCACATGCAAAGAACCCTCCATCTCCAGTTATTTATTTATTTATTTAATTAATTTACGTCTCCAGTTATTTATTTATTTAATTAATTTATATGCCGCCCACACTACCCAAAGGTCTCTGGGTGGCTTACAGCATTTAAAATACAAAAAGATACAGCACTGGCTTTCAGATGCAGGAGGACACAACTTAGTGTCTTTCATTTAAAAGCAACAACAATGGCTGATTAATTAAAAAAAAGAGATACTGACTGCATAAATCTGCTAAGGAAGCATACAGGTAATCCTGTTTTATGGTTTTTCCAGGGTATCACTGAGCAAATGACTACAATGAGGCTGCCTCAGGCAGAAGATCAGAGACCCCATGCTTCACCATCGCCATTTGCTACGCTGGCTGAAGAGGATGGGAGTTGTCATTCTGAGTTAATCCCAAGAGAGACCCAGTAGCAGAAAACAAGGATCCGGGCCTTCTCGGAAGTCACCCTTTGGCTTTGGAATGAGGTACCCTCTGAAATTCCCATGTTCTTCCCCCCCCCCCTCTGGTGACCTTAAAGAAATACCTCAAAACCTTCTTATTTCAGAAGGCTTTCCAAACCAATCCATCTGACTGGCAGCTGAGAGTATCAGCCTCACATTTTAAATGGCTGCCTGTTTTCAAATGTAATGTCAACTTAATTTTAACTTCACTTTGAACTATGTTTATGTTATTTTATGTCATTATCACTGCTGCACACCTCCCAGAGTGACCAGTGATCAGATGGGCGCTATAGAAATCAAATATAGTGGTGCCTCGCAAGACAATACTATAGAAATCAAATACAGTATAGTGGTGCCTCGCAAGACAATGTTAATTCATTCCGTAAAAATCGCTGTCTTGCAAACATCGTCCATAGAAAACATCGTCTTGTGGAATGCGGTTCCCCATTGGAATGCATTGAAATCTACTTAATGCGTTCCAATGGGAAAATCATCGTAAAAATCGTCCATAGAAAACATCGTCTTGCGAAGCGCAACAGCGATTGCAAAAACTAATAATCTTGCGGATTAATCGTCTTGCAAGGCAATCGTCTCGCAAGGCATCACTGTACGTACATACATACATTATTATTATTATTTATTGTATTTATATGCGAAGTGCAACAGCGATCGCAAAAACTAATTGTCTTGCCGATTAATCATCTTGTGAGGCAATTGTCTTGCAAGGCATCACTGTACATACATACATACATACATACATACATACATACATACATACATACATACATACATACATACATACATACATACATACTTCCACTCATCTGGAGAGCAGTGGGACAAACAACAGTACAGTACTTAAATCGTTCTGTATTTTAAAAGCAAAACAGGATACTGGGAATGTGCTAGCTTCCCACATACATTTAGCAAGTTTCAGTGCTAGATATGAGTCAATTTGGAAAATGCTTTTAAAAAAAGCTTGCCCACCCCATTATAGGAATTTCCTCAGCGCTTCCTTTCCATCCACTGCGGAAAATATGAAACACGGGCATTCCCTGCTGAATTGTCCCAGGCAAAATCCTTCCCCCCCCAATGAAAAGTGGGAGGAAAGCAGAGCCTAAATCGGTTAAGAAAACAGTCATGTTTTCAAAGAAAAGGAAAAAAAGAGCAAATCATCATCACTGCTCCTGAAGATGATTTTGCTGGAAACCCCTAAAACCTGGAAGGAACTCTCTGGACCGTTGCAAAGTGAATTTTATGGCAAAGTCACCGAGGCCACGATGCATCGACAGAAGCTCTGCCTTCTGTATATAACTTCATACGTACAGGATCTGTATGGGCCAGATCCTTTCTCTGCCAAGCTTAGGACTCTTTTTACTAGATATGGGCACGAACTGGAAAAACCCTGAATTGTAGTGGTTCACGGTTACCCACGAACTACCCACAAACACCGGAAAAACGAACCACAAGCCCTATCTAGGGTGGGGGGAACCTAATGCCCCTGCCGCCTTCCTGCTGCCCCCGGGAGCCAGGACGCCGCCCCCAAAGACAGCAGTGGCAGAGAAGGAAGACGTGTCAGGCCCAGCTTGGGAGGTGAAAAGGGGGCGGGGCATCAGGAAGAGGGCGGGGCCTCCATTTTGCGGAGCACTGAACGAAAAAAAGTTCGGCATTTTGTTTCGTTTCAGCAAAACCGCCTGTACGAACTGAACCACGAACTCGTCCGGTTCGTGGTTTGTTGTTTTTTCCAGTTCGTCGTTCGGTTCGTGCCCATTCTTATTCTTCACTCTTCTATCCCACCCACCTCTGCGTTTGGAAACTTGCTAGTTAGTAAATTCAGGCCGTTGCCCTACAAAATGAAACACACACATACACACCCCGCTCAAGTTCTGCCACTGCAGCCCTTCTCAATGTGCTTCCACAGCATCAGGACCACAAGAGGATGCTGGGGGCCCCACGGATAGAGTCCGAAAGCTGTAGATTCTTTGAACACCGGCTCCCATACCAAAAAAAGCAAGACCGTCTGATAATGTATGGGATCCAAGAAAGCACCATACCTTCTCCATCCACCCGCCACAGTGCAAAATAACAACGTCGGAAGGACTTGGTTGGCTCTTAAAATTGAAAAGTCAAGATTTGGAACCGAGAAGAAAAGTTTAAATTCCTACCCTTCCTATGCTACCTTGGGAATTCTGGGAGTTGTGATCCAAAAACCCATCTCCGCACACTCCTATTGTCTACAGTGCTCTACACCTTCTAATTCAGTCACAGGAAGGAAGGAAGGAAGAGTTACAAAAGAACAATTGACGGTCTGGCTCACAACTCCAGAAACGGCTCAAACGTACACACACCCCAGTCTCTGAGACTTCATCTGGGATTTTGTGCTGCCAAGGCTACAGCTGCAGCCTAATAAATACTTCCTGTTATGCACCATTCTGCCATTCGTGGCAACCTATGGACGAATGGACTCCCGAAGGACTCCCTTTGTTTGCAAACTCCAGCCTGTGGCTTCCTTTCCTGAGTCAATCTTCCTCACGCTCTGCGCTCCTCTTCTCCTCCTGCCCTCCACTTTCCCTAACATTCTTCTTCTGCAGAATAACAATAGTGACAAAACTGAATTGGAGCTGAAGAGTCCTTAAGGACTAGAGACCTATATCCACCAAAAGCTGGATGCTCTTGGCTGAATTTCCCAGGGACAGAAAGGGACAGAGTACTGAAACCTGAACTAAATTTGAGAAAGACTCCTGTTTTTACAGTCAAATGCAGCATCTTGACTATATATCCTAGGTACCAATCACAGGAAATGTTTACTTACCTGCAGTTCATAAAATTAGCTCTGTGGGAGCAAGTTTGCTGCAATCAAAAGCAAAAGCCAGCCTAGATATTAAATAATTGCCCTTTGCAAAACTCATGTGCTTTATATGCTGTACTCTAGAACTGTCAGCCACCTGGACTACAAAAAGACAAGCTGTCAGTTTCATCAAGCAGGAAAGGACGGACCGAATACATGGTTTCCATTAGCATCCCCTCACCTGCTGGGAGGGCTCCGAGTTCCGGGTCACCTCTTCATAGGCCCCCACGTTCTCCCAAGTAGCAATGAAAGCGTGTTGCGGGACAAAGTCACTCGCCGTGGGAAATCCGGCCCGAATAAGCTGGGCGGCTTGATCCAGCACCTCTCTGGATTCGTCCAGACGGTAATAGATTTTGCCTTTCCCGTCACTGGTATCAATGTCCGATAAGAAGGGAGCGACGGCTGGGAAGTCTGTGGGGAAATCATCATCCACATACTGGGTCTCTCTGGGGAAATCCTGGGTAGAGATGATTCCGTTGGTCCCAACCTGTGAGGGAATGAGGTTTAAAGAATCACGAATGAAATAAAACCACTGTACCTCCCCTGATCGAGAGAATCAGTGTTTAGATGCTCCTTACATTTTGCTTTCTCCCTTAACAGAAATATAGTCTCCAAATCCCACAAGGTACTTGTTCCCCTCTATTCGGGACTGGTTAGGCCTCACTTCGGCTACTGCGTCCTGTTCTGGACACCACACTTCAAGCGGCTACTGTCTTCTGGACACTGCACTTCAAGACGGATGCTGACAAAGCGGAACAAGTTCAGAAGAGGGCAAGAAGGATGATCAGGGGGCTGGAAACCAAGACCCGTGAGAAAACCCTTCAGTCTTGAGAGACGATGGTAACATGCTCTGTTTGGAGGACTTGGAACAGCGTCTAGTGTGGCTGAAAAGGCCAATTGGAGAGTGACCATCCCTTCCACAGTGAGGACAAAAACAATCTGTATTATAGGTCCCTTCCAACATCATGATGTTATGATTCCCTTTTAAAAACGATGATACTTCAACCTGCCTGGTCCTGCATGATTCTGGAAGTTAAGATGCTCAAGCCACAGCAAGAGACTAATGGAAGAATCCTGCTTGAAACCTCAGTAATACGTCACACTAGAGAAGGCCCATTGAATCAAGGGAACTTACACAGGCACTGATTCACCAAATCACCACTGATTCGACAGGCCTACTTTAGTTGTGACTCATGACTGGATTCCACCTGGCAGGACAGAGTTCCAAATAGAGTAGTCCTGGAACGAGCTGGAATTTTTAGCATGTAGAGTGGTGCCTCGCTTTATGATTGCCCCGCATTACAACGAAACCACTTAATGACGATCTTTTTGCTATCGCAATTGCGATCGCAAAAGGATGGTCTGAATGGGGGAATTTCGCTTTGCTATGATTGGTTCCCTGCTTCGGGAACTGATTCTTCGCAAAACGATGATTTTTAAACAGCTGATCGGCGGTTTCAAAATGGCCACCGGGGAACTAAAATGGCTCCTGCTGTGTTTAGAGACAGATTCCTCGCTATACAGGCAGCGAAAATGGCCACCGTATGGAGGATCTTCGCTGGACGATGGTTTTTACCCCATTGGAATGCATTGAATGGGTTTCAATGCGTTTCAATTGGGTTTTTTTCCCGCTTAACGGCGATTTTCCTGGAACGGATTATCATCATTAAGCGAGGCACCACTGTATAAATTACTGAAACAGGGAAGCCTACGTTGGCTCGGGCATGTCGTGAGAATGGCTGATGGCCGGATTCCAGAAGATCTCCTATATGGAGAATTAGTGCAGAGAAAGTGCCCCAGAGGGAGATCACAGCTGCTATACAAAGAGATCTGAAAGTGGGATCTGAAGGCCTTAGGAATGGACCTCAACAGATGGGAAACCTTGACCTCTGAGCGTTCAGCCTGGAGGCAGGCGGTGCATCATGGCCTCTCCCAATTTGAAGAGACCCTTGTCCAGCAGGCCGAGGCCAAGAGGCCGTCCCGAAACCAGCCAAATCCAGGAGCTGGACAGGGGACAGATTGTATTTGTCTTCAGTATGGAAGGGACAGTCACTCTCGAACTGGCCTCCTCAGCCCCACTAGATGCTGTTCCAAGACCTCCATATAGGGCACGTGACCCTCGTCTCTCGAGACTGAAGGATGCCTACACACACTGGATTCCAGCCCATATAAGCCGTCAGTTAGGTTCCTAGAGAGCCTCAGATGGAGGGCCCTAAGAGATCCTCATGCTGCTGACTGGAAATGGCCCCACAGAGCATTCCTCCCACAAGTTTTTTTCTGCTCTCCTGACCCATTACTGCAAATACTATGACAGAATCCAGGCTACAGACCCACAGTCCACATGGCATTCCCTCGTCATATGAGAGGGAGCAGCTCCTTCTCCCAGGGTGTGCAAAAGCTCCCAGGACTCACAGGCGTGTTTAAATTATTGTCTGACATTGAGGGGCGAAAGGTCACAACCCGAGAGAAGCTTGGGGTATGGCTTTCCATTGGAATGGGGAGGGCATCGGAAGGAGATTGGAAGGAGAGGCATCGCGTTTCCTGCTCCCTTGGTAAAGGTAAAGGTTCCCCTTGACCTTGAGTCCAGTCATGTCCAACTCGAGGGCGCGATGCTCATCCCTGTCTCCAAGCCGTAGAGCCAGCGTTTGTCCATAGACAGTTTCCGTGGTCATGTGGCCAGCACGACTAGACACGGAACGCCATGACCTTCCCACCGAGGTGGTTTCTATTTATCTACTCGCATTTTTACATGCTTTCGAATGGCTAGGTTGGCAGGAGCTGGGACGAGCGACGGGAGCTCACTCCGTTGCATGGATTCGATCTTACGACAGCCGGTCTTCCAACCTTGCAGCCCAGAGGCTTCTGCGGTTTAACCCGCAGTGCCACCACATCCCCCGCCCGCTCCTACACACGCTTTATTTCCACAGCCAGGTGTGGGAGTCCATTTAGTCAGCCAGGTGAGATCTCTCCCACAGTGGCAATGAGTTCCCACGGTCATTGAGAAACGGTCTCCTGTAACCATGTTGAACACAGAAACGAATGCACTTTTATTCACCGTATGTATTACTAGTCTATACAGGATCTTCCTCAATCGCTCTTCTTTTTAGACTGGACACCGTCAGCCTAAAGTCCTCATTCTGCCATGAAGCTGAGGGGACAGCCTTGAGAACGAACACGTCACCCAGGGGTATCCTGACAGCCAAGTGAGATAATTTCCCCCCCCCCCAAAAAAATACACCACACCTAGACTTGGAAAAGTTATATTTTGGATTACGATTCTTAGACTCCCCTAACCAGCATAGCCACAACAAGACCCTGACCAAGAAAAGCACCTTTTAAAAAGTTCAACTCGGCCCCGTTCAGGTCATGGGAAGAAGGGGCCACAGAACGGATTTATTTTGATTTTTTTAAGGCATGGATGGGCACAAGAAGGGGTTACAGGCAAGCGCCTGTTCTTGCCGGGGACCGGCTGAACAGTCAAAGAGGAGGAGAAAAGGAGTGAGGGATAAATTTGGGGAGGTGAGGGAATTCACAACAGCCACGGTGCCACACTTACAGACCGGCACAAACCTCCGAACTAAGGTCCATGCCTATTTCTAGGGAGACAACCCAGGACTGGCTTAAAGACCTTCCCAAGCCATCAGAGGTGGGAAATCCAGCCTCTTTGTTCTGGACCACTCCCAGACTAACACCGATAGCAGGAAATCCTGAGAATCACAGTTTTAAAAAAAGGGTTTCCTCTGCCAGCAATGAATCGGATCGCTCAGCAGTCGAGACTTGGGTTCTGAACTGTGCCTCCTCGGGGAAGAGCCAGCCTGGGTGGCCTTGAGCACGCTGCCTGGTCCCAGGGCGCCTCCAGAAGAAGGGAAGGGTCAACCACTTTGAAATCGACCTAGAAAACCCCATAAAAAAAGGGTGGCCATAAGTCAGAACTGACTTGAAATCGACCCAGAAAACCCCAGAAAAACGGGTGGCCGTAAGTCAGAACTGACTTGGCAGCGCATGGCGATTATTATATTCCCAACACAATGCCCTCCAGACGTTCGAGACTCCAAATCCCACCAGCCAGAGGCAACAAAGCCAATGGGAAGGATGATGGGAACTGAAGTCGAACCCTATGGAGGGCAATGTGCTGAGAAAGACTGATGTAACAACTCTAGCTATCTGTGATTTAAGCAGGGATGATAGTGGTTCGCTTTATCTCGCCTTCTCTGTCCGGGAAGACATACACACGTTTTTTATCTCTCGCACCACAGGGCATTTAGCTGATAAAAGTCATGTCCGGATAGAAAAATGTAAGGAATCTACAAAGATAAAACCCTGGGTAACTAAAGACCCCTTTAGTTGCTCATTAACTAGAGAGGCTTTTTAAATGGAGGAAGTATGTGTTACGTAGTCATTATTCCCAGTACGGTCGTTATTACTTAAAAAGCAAGATCCCCAATCTTGGGAGGTGAGCTGGAGTTTTGTTTTGTTTTTTTAATTTCCCCCACACTCACTTAGCGAGCTGATCCCTAAACACAAAGGCCAGTCCACTCGAGGAAATTTTAAGAAACAGCATTAGCAACTACTGTAGCCCATCCGTCGCTAATGAAGTTTAAGATCTGTACTGAGAAAGCTCACCAAATAAAATAAAATATCTCCGCCTTCTCACTTAGCTCTGGGCCCGTTTCTGGGAAGGCAGCCTCAGTTTCCCATCCGTAAAATGGGAACCTCAGAGCCCCCGCATCTGGCAGAGGAAGGGTTCCGATGGGAGCCGACGGTTTAATGGGAAAGGATCGGATTCTTCTTTCTTTTAATTTCCTCCAAAGGAGAGGTGGGGAAAGGGATTCCCCGGGGGGGGGCAGGCGGTGGGCGCCCTGGGAGGGTCTTTGGGTCCCCGCAGGACGGAGGAGGGGGAGCGTGCCAGCCCCACCGCAGGCAAGGCGAGGAGACGGAGGGAGACAGACGCCCCATTGAAGCGGCCGGGAATAGCTTGGGATGTCGCCTTGGGTCCCACGAAGGGAACCCCCCTCCCTGCTCTTCTGATCCCACGATCAGGATCCGGCCGGGGGTGGGTGGGAAGAGGCCAAGAGTTGGCCACGGATCCCCGCAAAGTTGACTTTTTTGAGGGAGACAGACGCCCCATTGAAGCGGCCGGGAATAGCTTGGGATGTCGCCTTGGGTCCCACGAAGGGAACCCCCCTCCCTGCTCTTCTGATCCCACGATCAGGATCCGGCCCGGGGTGGGTGGGAAGAGGCCAAGAGTTGGCCACGGATCCCCGCAAAGTTGACTTTTTTGGGGGGGACTACAACTCCCACCATCCCTGGCTGGGGGATGGT